GAAGTCATTTGGGGCTGGGCTTTTTGTGGTAGGGAGTTTTTGAGTTACTAAATCAAGCTTTGTAACTGTTTGATATCTATTCTAATTTTCTATTTTTAAATTAGTTTTGGTATATCTTGTCTTTCTAGGAATCGGTCCATTTCATCTAAATTAGGTTGCCATCAGATTCCCTTGTAATCCTTTTGATTTCTGTAAGGTCTGTGGTTGATCCCTTTTTCATTCTGACCTTTATAATTAAAAGTGAGTTTTTTTTTTTTTTTTCCCACAGTCATTCTAGATAAAGGTTTGTTAGTTTTGTGAACCTTTTCTAAGAATTAACTTCTGATTTTGTTCATTTTCTCCTTTTGTTATTTATTTCTCCTATTGCTGTTATTTCTTTTCTTCTGCTGCTTTGTGTTTAGTTTGATGTTCTTAAGTTCTTTTTTTTTTTTTTAAGATTTATTTACTTATACATACAGAACTGGGGTATAGGCCAGAGGTGTGGGGGGTGAGAGGATCCACTGAGACAGAGTGGGGAGCAGAACAGGCAGATTGACGAAGTACAATGCTAAGGGGAGCAATGGCGAGACGGGGTGTCTGCCGCACCATGAGGGTCAGCTCCCTGGCCAGTCACTACTGATGCTGCAGTGACTTCAAATTGCTTCATAGTGTTGTGCTTTAACCCGTTGCGCCACCAGAGCGGGCCCCCCTTTTTTTTTTTTTAACATAGAAGTTAACGTTATCAATTTGAGATCTTTCTTTTTTGAAATATAGAAAGTTACAGCTATAAAATCCCTTGTAAGCTCTACAGTCTATATAAGTTTTGTTATGTTTTGGTTTGCTTTCATTCATCTTAAAGTTTTTCCCAAGTGATTTTTTTTTGAACCATTGGTTACTTAGGCATACATTTGTGAATTTCCCAAATTTCTACCTGTTACCGATTTCTAATAAACTCCATTGTATGACAGTATACTTTATATGATATCAATTCTTTTAGCTTGGCTGAGGCTAGTTTTACAACCTAACATATGGCCAGTCCTGGAGAAGCTTCCATATGCTTGTTGAGAAGAACATGTATCTTACATGTGTTAGGTGGACTGTTCTGTAGATGATTTAGATCTAGTTTGTTTATAATAGTTTTCTATTTCCTTGTTCATGTTAAGCCTTGTTTTTCTATTCATTCCTGAAAGTAGAGTATTAAAACCTACTTTCATTGTTAAGTTGTCTAGTTTTCTCTTCAGTTCCTTCAATTTTTCACTACATTTTCTTCTGATCTTTGTAGTTATATATGTTGGACAGAATCATGTTCCCTCAAGGTGTTCACATTCTCTTCCCCGCAACCTGTGAACCTGTTGCCTTACACATCAAAGGGACTTGCAGAAGCATTTAAGTTAAACATCTTGATATGGGAAGACTATCCAGGCAGGCCCAATACAGAATCGCAAAGTTCCTTATAAGAGGGAGGCAGGAGGGACAGAGTGAGAAAAGGAAATGGGAGGGCAGACCCGCTTCAGTGCCAGTTCGATCCTTGACCCTGAGGTGACCCACATGACGCGGCAGACCTCACCTCTCTCCCCGCTGCTCCCCTCAGCAGTGTACTTGGTTGATCTGCCTGTTCTGCTCCCGACTCAGTCTCTGGTGAATCCTCTCACTGCCTCTGCGCCTCTCGCCTGTACCCCAGTTCCCTATGCATAAATAAATAAATCTTTTTTTTTTTTTTTTAAGAATAAGTATGTAGTTGTAGAGCTTATTATATTAGCGTTCTTATTTACCATTTCTGGTTCTTGTCATTCCTTTTTGTAGACCTGACTTAGACTCTGGTGTCCCTGTTGTGCAGGTGTCACTTGACTCCTTTGAGAGCTGTTACTGTCTGATATACTGTGTGTCTGTGTCTGTATACTGCAAATCCTGCAGTACAGTTACATGCATGTTGTTTTAGGCAATTGCTTTTTAAATTAGTTTTTTAAAAAAGGGTAAGACCAATGTACATATTTGTCTTTCGTGATTGCCTACATTCTTAGCTTCACATTCCCTCTATTTTATCCTGAGGATTTTCAGTCTGAACCACTTGCTTTAGCATTTGTTGTAAGGCATATCAGCTAGCAAGTACTTCTCTCAGTTTTTGTTTATTTGGGACATGCAGGCAGTTCACCCACCCTGGGGTGAGATCATAGCTCCAGACTGGGAGCTGGGGAAAGGCCTGCCTTGCCAGGGTACAACTCCAGCATGGGGCTTCTGAAAGAAGGAGGGGAGTTTGGGGGCTGAAGAAAATGCCAAAGGCTCTTCCTGTTCTTACCCAGATTTTATAGGTTTTCTTAAGTGGTTTTTCTATGTCCCATATGCTCTGAGGACAATTTCCAGAGATTTTAAATAATTGTTTAAAAAATAATTTTTACCAGTTAGATTGTTGGAGACATTCTTATTCTGCCATCCCAGAAGTCTCAAGGATATTTTTTAATGCCTTTAACTTAGTGCTCATTTTGATTAAATAAAGGAAGCCAGATACTGTGACATCTTTGGAAAACAAAAAATTTAAAGCTAAATATTTAAATGATGATAAGGGACAGGTCAGTAGGTTCCTGATATTAATTCTCACAGTAGCTTTAGGTTAAGATTGTATCTAAGGTTATTATCTCAAGCAGCAGTTATTCCTGCATCCCACAAAAATTTACTGAGAATGAACTATCAGTTGTTGTTTTTTTAAAAAAAAGATTTATTTATTTATGCATATAAAAGCTAGGGTGCAGGCTAGAGGTGTGGGTGGGGGGCGGGGGGAGGAGGTTAGAGGATCCACCAGAGACAGAGTAGGGAGCAGAACAGGCAGATCTGCCAGAATACATTGCTGAGGGAAGCAGCAGGTGAGACAGGAGAGGTCTGCTGTGCCATGTGGGTCAGCTTCCTGGCCAGGGTACCAACTCGTGCAGCAGTGGCTGTGGAGAGCCTCATAGTGCTGTGTTTTAACCTGCTGCGTTATCAGGGAAGCCCTGTTGCTCAGTTTTGTACTAAACAGTAAGAGGTTAGCTCATGATGCCTTCCTTTTTAAGTTCCAGGAGGCTCAGTGCTTGATATAATGCCAAAGCAGTCATATTTTCTGAACCCAGGCCAGTATAATACCTATCATTTACCACCACTATCTTCCACCCACACGTATTCCTTGTATATAGATTTAAATTTTCCACATCAGTTTGACACATACATTGGTGTGCCTTAATAGTTCCCAATTGCACAGAGATATTATGCTAAGTTTTTTCCTTCTATTATTTGATTTAATCCTCACAAGAATCTGTAAAACCCCAATTTTTGAAAAGATTTACTTTTTATGCTTACTAGAACTGGGGTACACATCAAAGGTGCGGGGGAGGGGTGAGAGGATTCAGCAGACACAGAATGCGGAGCAGAATAGGCAGATTGGCTAAAATACACTGCTGAGGGGAGTAGTGGGCGGGTCAAGAAAGGTCTGCCTGCAGCCATGTGGGTCAGCTCCCTGGCCTGGGGTGGAATTCATGCTGCAGTGGCTGCATATTGCTTCATAGTGCTGCATTTTAACCCATTTCACCACCAGGGAGGGAAAACCCCAATTTTATGGAGGAATAGACTGAGGCCTAAAAGTATGTTCACCTTCTTCCCAGGATTAGAAGGGTAATAAGTGACAGAGACTGGATTTAGATTCTGATTCTTAACCCTTCTTCTACATCATGTCCACTACTTCTTTTATCTTTTTGTTAATTGGTAGAATTAAACCATAAATATCCACTAGAGGTAGAGGTATTACTCATTGAAGGAGAGGATGGTATTCACCCTCCAACCAGTTTACACTAGTTGACTTAAGCAGTCACAGGTTATCTTTGAGGCTGACACCGGGTTCTGGCTGTGGATCAGGTCAGCACTTTGCACACTTGGCCAGAACTGTGGCTTCACTCCAGAGGCCTTGAAGACATTGATGGATGGCTCCCCCACTTTCATCACCATCTCACTGGCGGTTGCAGCCTCAGGGAGGACATGCCACTCTGGACCACACTTGAGCTACTCCCATGAGTCAGCGCCCTGTCTGACGCTCTCTTTAATGAGCCTTGCCAAAGCCTAATGAGCTTCTTTTGATACTCTGCTCTGTAAAAGGCTGTCTCCCACTGTCTGCTCTCAAAAGACACCTGTGTCTCCTTTGTTCTTGTATTCCCCTTAGTTTGGTGATTCTTGGTGTTTTTGTAGAGTCCTGCTGTGTTTTTCAAAAGCTAGAATTTCCAGCCTTGGCCATAGGAAATATTCATAACTCGCCAGAACTACCCACTGTCCCGAGAGTGAAAGAGTAAATGAGGCAACGTCTGGAAAGTGACTTGAGTATCTTGAAGGTGGTTGAATTTATACTTGCACTGTGGTCTTCACGTGACTTTGAAATGGTCTCTGTTGTGACAGGTTTAAATTTAGTATTAACTTGTCAAATAAATCTACTGGTGTTTGTTTAGATGTTGGTGATAGCTGTTGATTACTTATAAGGTCATTAGAGGGAATTTTAATTTGCCCAAGGAGACATGCAGTGACTGAGAACAGGGCCAAGAAGACAGTTCTTGCAGTATGTCTCCAAACCTCCTGCCTAACTTCACTCAACAGAGTGGCCACCTACTTACTGCCACTGTTCAACAAGTTGGATTTGAGAGTTGTATTTGTGAGACTGTCTTCAGGTTCAAAAAGTGCCTTGACAATGTCTTGTCTGCTGAGGGATTCAGTAAGTTAATTTAGAGATGGTGTTATACTCTAACCACGCAGCCAAGGCATTGGGGTCTAAGACAGTTTCAGGACCAGGCTTTGAAACAAAAATCTCTGGTCTTTTCACAGTAGAACAGACTCTGTGAATTTGTTTCCTTTGGTCCTCCTGCAGTAGACACAGTTGTGTTACATGCTTGGGAAGTTTTTATCATTCATATTGGAAACTAGGTGGAGACCTGCTTTCACAGAATGCAATTGTGATGGAAAACAGAACTTGGGTGGACAAGATCTTGGGGCAGGGGGCGGGAAGGTGAAAGGGAATGGCGAGGTGAGGGAGAGGATGGAAGGACAAGTGGGGAGGAGGAGAAATGTTTCTTTGAGATGAATGCTTCACCATTAGCCAGAAGAAATATCTCATGTTACCTTGGTTT